TCGTAAATAAGTTTCTAAATATGTATTTTTTAATCACAATTTTGTTATGTATATTTTTTTTCATTCTCTAGTATATGATGCTAATTAATAAAATTTATTGTATTTAAAACAAATTTATTTTAGCAATTAAATTGGAATGGTCAAGAATACATCAAAAATTTATGCAATTTGACATCATTTTGACAAACTAAAATTTGATGTTATTTTGATATCATTTTGATCTTTCTGTTCTCCTTGGGAAGTGATCACTCTGCATGCTTACAATAAAGTTTAATCAGAGCCGTTTGATATTATATTTATTAGGTCTATCTCTATTAGTTTAGAAGATAAAAAGGGGTGGCCACTTATACGGGGACACCCTGTACATATATATCATGGACATAGGAATATAAGAGGACAGAGCATAGAGGTGCGAGGAGGAAGTTACTGCGGGACGGTGCGACGAGGTAAAGATTTGCCTAAATTTGATTGGCCTGTTAGTTTGCGTAAGCGCAATGATAATTAAGTCTCGTGTCCGTGTGATACACACATATATAATAGACCGAGTATCCCTATGCTTTTGCTGTGGAGGAGGAGATTTGGGACCCAATAAGAGTGAACTCAGCACAATCCCCCCCGGCATTTCGGCTTCACTTCCCTCGCCTAAGTTACGACTTTGTGCTTCTGTCCTCTTATATTCCTATGTCCATGATATATATATGTATATGGAGTAAAAAATATCAAATAGCACGCGCAAAGCTCGCGTCTGTAATGCCCTTAGAACATATTATATGTTCTAAGGTAATGCCAGTGTGTAAATAAAAGAAATATGTAAAATGTTTATTCCCTGTTTTCAAAAACAATGAAACACTGAGTAAGAATAAATGAAAAAAGATTTCTTGTTTGACCTAGTAATCGTTTATGATGATTAAATATAACTGTGAATAATAATAATCGGATTAATCGTTAAAATCAGGTTTAATATAACTTTTAAATAAGTCGATTGATTGAAGTATATCTAGTGAATATCGTCGAAAGAAGTTCTACACAACTTTAACAACTTATATAATGACTGATTGTACAATATTACTGTGACGTTTTTGCATAATATACTTGCTTAAGCGCTGCGCATTCAATGCTAACAGTTTCAATTTAACCGCCGCATCCATGGACATAGGAATATAAGGAGTCAGAGCATATTGTTGCGGGGGGGAAGGCAGTGCGGGACGGTGCGACGAGATAACTTGATTGGCTGTTAGTGTTCGTGTGATACACACATATATAATAGATCTATAATAGACCGATTTTTGCTGTGGAAGGGGTGAACTGGGACCAATAAGAGTGAACTGGGCACCAATTTGCCCCCGCATTTTAGCTTCACTCCCCTCGCTTAAGTTACGACTTTGTTCTCCGTCCCCTTATATTCCTACGTCCATGGCCACATCTAACAGTTAACGTTTTTATAGACTTTATTAACATCAACGCAGAGTCAAATAATTTATTGCTGAAAAAGTATCTTTCTAAATTCTGTTATTTTAAGAGGTCTTATTATAATTATATGGTGAGTGACGTAATATGAAATCTGTGTTAAAAATGGCGAAGAGTGTAGTGACAGAACATACAAACGAAATTCTCCTTTTCTATTTTGAAAATTTGTGATACAAATCGATTAATAAGTTATTGACAAGACTTGTAATATAAATGTTGCTTATATATAATAAATCTGGAATTTTATATAAATTATGAAAATTAACTACTTGGAAGATCTATTATAAAATCTGTAATATATATTATAAGACAACCCAGACAGCACAGATCTCCTGAGTATGTTCCATAGGACATTCTAAGGATGTACAAATGTTCTATGGACGTTCCTATGGACGTTCTACGAATATCGCGTGTGCTGTCAGGGAAGAAACAGACAAATTATTGTTTCTATATTAAATTTGAATATTTGTTCGTAAACTTTACATTACATATTTCATGAATGTTATATAATAAAAAAAAGTAAAAACTACAAATATGTAATACATGCTCTCTGCATATTCATCTGCGCACCCGTGCACTTTGTATACACTTTGTATGTATGGTATGTATTACATATATCTTACGAGTTGATTATAAGAAATGCATATTTAATGTATAGATGTATTGTCATCACATTTTTCTCCTTAAATTATGAAATTTTATAAAATATGTATATTAAAAATAAAAATTACGAAAACAAAATTATAATTAAAAACTTAGATACTTAGAAAAATTAATAAAATAATTATTAAACAAAATTAATGTTACAATTGACTTTTAAAATTAACGTGATCTTGTTTGATTCAAGTGATCATAGATGGATGCTTTATAAAAAATTTAGAAAAATGTCACATTTCAATTCAAGTTTTTATATATGTATCAGTTTTAATCAACCAATATTCTAATTTTAATAACTTATTATTATAAACTGTCCATAACTATATATGTCATATATATTCTCATTGATTGCGACTATTTAGCAATTTACACATACAGAATCACAGACATATAATTTACCTTGAAATTCAAACAAAGACAATAAATTAGTGCCATTATAAAATAATACTGTTTAAGTATGTATTTACAGGTTATAGTTTACAATTGCAAATATCGACAATGAGAATAAATGTGAAACTTCTTTTCTTCATATTTATGCTCACTATAGTGTCACTAGAAGGACAAGTAAATTTCATGAAAAACTTAGAAGTTTTATTGAAAGGATCGATTAATTATGTGTTTCCTAAAGATCCTGGTATAGTGAGAGTGAGGAAGCCAGAAGATATCAAAACAGGGAACAATATAACCACAATATTAGATTTTGTAAGTGTAACAAAATTGTGCAATAATAAATAATTGAATAATAACTATTGTTTAATTAATTTAATCTTTTATATTTCTCTTAAAGAAATATAAAAAAAATAAATATATTAAAAACATAAAAAATATAAATATATTTAAAAAAATAAAAAATATAAATATATTTAAAAAAAATAATAGCTTAATTAGAATATTAAATAAAACAATCTTCTTGATAAAAAGAATACCTTGCTATCTTAAAGTTTAATTTATATTACAGCATGATTTTGTAATCAGTAGCAATGTAATCATTAAAATATGTTTTTGTTCAAACAATAAATATATTGAGTAAACAACAATATCTGAAGAATGCCCTTACGAAAAAAAACTCTCAACTTTGAGTGTTCAACACTAAAAAAAACGCTCAAATTTGGGTGTTAACACTTAAAAAGGACGCTCAAATTTGGGTGTGATTTAGATCGGAAGAGCACACGTC